AAAATGGAATTAAAATTTTGATCGCTTTGTCACTCAGCACTGGGCACTCACTTTGCACGAAAAGCCAAAAATGAGATCTTGTGAGGGACGAGTGGAATTTAAATTTAAGACTGTCGTCGGTTCATAGATCGATAAAATTTTTTCTTTCGGTCATAATCAAGTTACCACCCTCGAGTTCTGTTCAAAACGGATTTATTATCCACATATTTCCGTGTCATGGGTCCTCCTCCTTTGGGCAATAATAACCAAAAGAGTTAGTGAGTGACTGTCAGTGCAATCGAACAAGAGATATCACCTGTCGATTGACAACCCTTGTTTCATATAATCATCAAAATTTTGGAACATTTGCAGATCTTCAGCCAACCGTACTTGCCACAGTCGCATTCTCTTTTAAATGAATCCATTTTGCCTCGCACTGTGAACACGTCCGTAAACTGTTGTTGCAGCGATGTGTTCAGCTCGTCTAACAGGGAAAAATATCTGTCAGCTATGCAGGTTTCGCTAGAGCCAATCAAAATCGGAGACGAGATCATGTAACCGCGCATTTCTTAACAAACTGCATCAGACATTCGAGAATTGAGCACTTTTGTGACGAATTTCGTTTACAATTTTAATTACATCAAAGAGTACTTCGCGCAGTTTCTGAGGGATAATCCTATCGCCACAAGTTTCTCACAATGTATAATACAATGAGTTAACAAGATGTCTGGGTGTCAAACGATTTTCACTTCTGCAGCAACTCCTCAACGATGTCCAGCCTTGTTTACGGCCCCGTTTTTGCATATGCTAACAGATTTCTTCCATTCAGTACTGTGTTTCAGGAAATAACCATTAAGTGCATTGAGAATTTCAGGGCCGCTTGTTCTTCCCAGAAATGTTAGCGAACATAAAGGAGTTTTTCCTTTAATTCTCCTTGGCAATCAAACTCAAGAAAACAAACAGGATATCCCTGATAGTTATCTCTTTTGATTCGTCGAATTGAATTAATTAAAACAGAATTTTTCACAACTGCAATCACCTTCGACAATATCTTCAGTTTTGCGATTCCCACTCTTAGCGGACATAGGAATTTCTTTCAGTTTCTGGACAGCCGTTTTACCCAAAATCTCTTCACAAGCTTGTAACAAGCAACGCTTAATTAACTCTTCCATAATTGTATACGGGTTATTAACATCTCGGGATTTGAACTGCTATCAAAAAAGGTATTTCACTAGGGACATATCTTCAAAATTATTGTTGCTAATAAACTATGTTGCCTTTGCAAACTTTCACTCATCCAAGGAAGTATTCAATTAGCTTCATAGCCAAATTTGGATGTTTCGTCTGCAAGTACCTGCCTAATTTCGAAGATCTCATGGAATTATTGGATAAACTCTCAGAACACGTAATGCAAAGAGGCTGTGGATTCAGTTCACTTCCAAACTTCAAGTAGTTCGCATAATATTTTCTTGAAACTTTCGGTTCTTCCTTCTCCCAGCCTCCAGTTCTAATGTGCTTCTTGATGAGTCCTTGTTGCGATGGCTGCGGAATCCCTGATTCATGAACCAACACATGACAAGGTGATGTATTT